GCAGCTACAGACCTGGATGAACTCACTGACACTGTCACATCTTATATCAGCTTTTGTGAGGATGTGTGTGCCCAAAAAGTCCTTCTGCACATACAACAACCACCAGCCCTGGTTCACAGTAAGACTCAAGCAGCTTCGTCGTGCCACAGCAGAAGCATACAGATATGGGGACAGGACTCTGTACAGCCAGGCCAGGAACACGCTGAAAAGGGAGATCAGAGCCACTCTGAAAAGCTGAAAGCCCAGGTTTCAGCCAACAACTCCTAGTCTGTGTGGAGGAGCCTGAAAAGAATCACTGGCTATAGCAAACCATCCCCCCCTACTGTGGAGGACCGTCAACTAGCAGACAACCTGAATGTGTTCTACTGCAGGTTTGACAAACACTCCACCCACACCCTCCCCACCTCAGACCCAGCAGCTGCTCCCCCAACAATCACCACCCTTCCCTCCAGCTCCTCAACTCTAACGATCTGTGAAATGAATGTGCGTGGCCTCTTTAAAAACCAAAGTATCAGGAAGGTACCAGGTCCAGAGGGTGTGACCCCCCGCTTCAAAGTGTGTGCAGATCAGGTGGTCCCCCATCTTCAACAGGTCACTGGAGCTGTGTGTAGTCCCCTCCATCGGTTGACTGAGCGACTACAGACCTGTCGCCCTGACATTTGTAATTATGAAGTCCTTTGAAAGTCTGGTGTTGGCCCACCTGAAGGACATTGTAGACCCCCTGCAGTTCGCCTACCGGGCAAACAGGTCAGTGGACAATGCAGTTAGCATGGCACTGCATTACATCCTGCAGCACCTCGACTCCCCAGGGACCTATGTACGGGCCATCTTTGTTGACTTCAGCTTGGCATTCAACATCATCATCCCGGACATCCTCTACTCCAAACTCACCCAGCTCACTGTGCCTGACTCCACCTGTCAGTGGATTACTAGCTTTCTGACAGACAGGAAGCAGGAGGTGAGGCTGGGGGAAACCACATCCAGCACCTGGACAATAAGCACAGGTGCCCCCCCCTCTGCTGTTTTCACTCTATACCATCGACTGCATCTCGAAGGACCCCTCTATCAAGCACCTTAAGTTTGCTGATGATACAACGGTCATTGGTCTCATCCGAGACAATGACGGGTCAGCCTGTAGACGGGAGTTGAGTAGCTAGCCCTATGGTGTGGTTGCAGCAACCTGGAGCTGAACATGCTCAAAACAGTGGAGATGACAGTGGACTTCAGGATGAACCCCCCCTCACCTTACTTGGCAGCCCTGTATCAGCAGTAAAGTCCTACAAGTTCTTGGGCTCCACTATCTCCCAGGACCTGAAGTGGATGTCCAACATCAGGACCATCATCAAGAAGGCAGAACAGAGGATATACTTCCTGAGCTGGCGCAGGAAGCTCGACCTGCCCCAGGAGCTGCTGATACAGTTCTACAGAGGAATCATCAAATCTGTTCTCTGCACCTCCATCACTGTCTGGTTTGGCTCCGCTACCAAACAGAACAAGTACAGACTTCAGCGGACAGTCAGGACTGCAGAAAAGGTCACTGGTGCAAGCCTGCCCTCCATGGAGGACCTGTACACCTCACAGGTCAAAAGGAGGGCAGAGGGGATCACTGCAGACCACTCACACACATGACAATCTGTTCGAACTCCTCCCCTCTGGATGGCGTTACAGGTCACTGTGCGCCAGGACAACCAGGCACAAGGACAGTTTCTTCCCCCAAGCTGTCACTCTGATGAACACTTGACCCAGGACAGTATGACTGGACAATAACCCTCAGTGCAATACATTGTACAGAATATACAGGTCTCTATTTTTAAGTACTCTATTTTTATTCCTAATTATCTTGTTTCACAATGAGCATTCCTTTATCTGCATTGTTTACTGCCTGTTTATACTGTTTATTTTACATTGTTTGCACTGTTTGTTGCTTGTTAATACTGCTTATTTTGCTATACTGCACAGCATTATGTTGGTTTACTGTTTACTTGCCCCTTGCATGGGGATATGTACATGCACATTGAGAGCCGATGTACCAGAGTTAAATTCCTCATGTGTCCAACAGCTGGCCAATAAAGCAGATTCTCATTCTGAAAATATCCAAAAACAGATTTTGTCAAACTCAATGGGTATGCTCACCTTAAAATTAGATAAACCATTACTAAAAATTTTACCCCATCTCCTTTCCCTAAAAAAAAGTTTTCAAACTATAATTTGGAAACAAAAATAGTGTCACTAAATACTGAAGTCAAACTAATATCTTTCAAGTCCAAAAATTTCCATACACTAAAAGAATTTCTTTAGAATTCCCAAAGATCTTTTCAAAATGTTACCATTTCAATCTCTAATTTCTTTGCCCTATTGTCTTTTCTTTTTGATTCTTTATCGGACTGTGATAAGAAGGGCATGATACAATGTGACAGATCCTTTACTACTGTCGGTTTAATACTTGCTTCATCAGTTTGGAGCACATTTTCGCTTGTCCTCCGTTTGCCCTGACTGGTGGGGAACCAGTGGTGGATTCATTACAGACCTTGCAATGCCCATTTACTACATGTATTATTAGCAACAAAGGGCTGTAAAGACAGCTGCCATTAAATCCCTGAAACCATTACTGACAGTGCAGTTACAGAAAGAGATTCCATGCGATACTCCGTCTCTTTGTGCACCTTAGAGGCTATGCTAGACGAATATTTTTGTCATTGATAGAATTTCTTTTAATAATGACTGAAAAATCTGAAGGCCATCCATTATTTTGACAGATTAGAATTGCCATGTGAGACTGAGATCGTATAGGGATCTAAATCACGCTCGCAAAACAATTTATCATGCAGCCCTAATTAGAACACAGAGGGTGATCTACACTAACTTAAAGTTAGGCTATTAAAAAGCCCAATAACTGCTACAGTGTTGGTAAACGAGGTGAAAAAAAAAAGAGGAACCGATGCAGTGGATGAAGGACAACTGAGACCCACTGAATGCACCTCACTTTATGAGAGCTGACAGCACACTGAAGAGCCACCGAGTCAAGGCCATGGAGCACATCTGTGACCACTACAGGTCACAGAGGGGTGGGTGCAGAAGGTGTGCATGCAGCAAATTCCTCTCGATAAAAGTGAGTGTTTCAAGATCAAGAAATCCCACCTTCAGAGGAACTTTTAATCACTTCCCAAGAAAAATGCTGCGCGACTTCAAGCCATTGGCTGAAGTAGAGCTGGAAAGTCCAGCCTCCGGTGAGGAAGCAGAGCACAGGCTCAGCTTTCAGATCAAAACTACCACAAAAAATGAAAATTAAATTGGCGGATTTTATGGCCCTGTCCATCAAAATGACCTCTGGTCCACCACTTTACTCAAATGGCTGCCGGTTTGTCCCGGATTCTATAGTCCACAAAATTTTCACATTTCACAAAATTTTGAAAGTGCAAAATATTTAATTTTTACTTTTACCTAAAATATTTGCTATTGACTGATGGCTGAATTCACTAGCTGCAGCTAAATTATATCACAGTTAGTTAGAAAACTACAAATAACACTTAACCCTCAGGGGTTCCTTTAAAAAGAGTCACACATATGTATCTAGTGCCAAGTCAAGTAACCACTTATATAAAAGGCTCTAAAATGTCAAATTCATATTCTCTTCCACTTTAAAACTAGCCAACTACTTCTGCCTGAAATATACATATCAAATATGAATTATATTTCTGGAATTTTTAACCATTTATAGGCCAGTATGTTTTCATAACTCCATATTATTTATGGGGGGGGGAATGAAAATTTCCAAAAAAATACATTTCAACCAGTAAATGTTGGTTGGGCCTAATAATAATCAGTGTGCTGTCAGCTCCCATAAAGTGAGCAACATTGATTTTGATGCATTATTTTTTTGGGCAGCAGTGCACCTGCATACACAACCTGAATGAGAACCCAAAGCCCAATTTTGTTTGGGTTATTGCTTCTCATTTTCGATTGTTTATAAAATATTGAAAAAAATTTGAGCTACATTCATTCAACACAGCCAAAATGGCTTGAAAAATAAAACAAATGTTACCACCAGTCTAAGTCCACATAAGGGTTAAATAGGGTCTAATTTTTTCCCTTCAAAGAAAGATGACTTCTTCAGGAAAAAATCCCAGTCTGTCTTGTTTTGATATTTGAAAACACAAAGCAGACTAGACTGTGTTTTTAATTTCACTTGAGTATATGGAAATGTTTTGTAAATAAAATAGGAAAAGTCATTGTTTCATATGTATAACACAGTATTAGCCTACTGATCACAGGTTCTTTTTTGGAGCTCAAATCCCCAGATTTTACTATGGTAACTCAAGTTGATGACATGAATTCAACAAAATTCTGATTTGAATAATAATTTCAAAAGATCAGCAGGATGCACCTGGAATCTACATCAAAGTCTTTGAGTGTATAATTTAAGTAAAATCATGTCTACAATGTTAGTTGCAGGATCGTGTTTGCCTTAACAATAGAAACACAGTGTACCTGTAGTTTTCACCAAGAGCTTGCTTAAGGGGCTTAACTCTATGTGAAGTGCCTTGGGAGGACTTTTTGTTGTGATTTGACACTATACAAATAAAACTGAATTTAACTGAACTGAATCACCAACACTGAACATTAATATGAAAGAGCATGACCGCATGGTTACAGAAAAGTTGTAATATGTGTATGCAATAAAGGGCTATAGTCTTCCAACCTACCTCCTGTTCAGTCAGCAGCAGGCCAAGTAGTCCATGTTTGGAGGAAATAAAAAACCTCAGTTATAACCACATTGACATGTTCAGTTGATCTGCCTGATCAGTTCATTGATTACTAAAATACCAGACAAATACAAAAGACATGGGGATAAATGTTGAGAATTCTTATCCAACAGATGCAACAGTGTGAATTTGAAGATGATGGCATACCTCAACTCCGATTTCAACATTGTATCTCTTTTACCTTTTTAACAGTAGCACTTCTACAATATCTGTGGGTGTGTGTATGTGTGTGTCTGACCGCATTTCCTTCAGCCCCTTGGTCTGGATGACATGGAGGATTTGTTTAGGAGTCATGGGTGCATCAGAGAAGTTCTCCAAAACCTGGAAAACATGCAAAATCATTTAACCACAAACTGACAAATATTTCAACAACATTAAGGAAGCATCATAAACACAAAACAAGTTAAGCTTAACCTGGGATCATGAGTAGCTCTCCAAGTAAAAAAATGTTGGCGACTCCTGATCTAAATCAATCAACCCCACAGTCTCAGTAACTGTCCCACATGGGAGCAATCTTACTCTCGAGCTAATTAATGAAGCCCTAGAGCTAAACAAATTTCAACTTGTCTAGTGTTTCTAAAGTCAAAAGGGGTGGTGGTGGTGCTATTTAAAAGGACATTTCATTGGTGAATTTACTGTAATTCTTTTGAATATCTCTGTACTGTGGTGAAAACACCAAGCACTTTATTAGTTAGTTTACAGACCACCAAAGTAGTGTGCACAATTCACTGATGAATTGTCTGACTTCCTGTCAGGTATCACTGATTTCAACTCTTATGTTAAATATTCATATAAACAATCAAAGATAACACTGCTAAAAAAGACTTCCCTTATTTGATCTGGTACAGCATGCAACTGGCCTGAATCACACACACTACATTTGGTTATCAATTTTTCAATCAAAAAAAGAGGTAAAAGGTACAGTATATGCTAATGAAACTGCCAGTGCTGCATTTGATGTCCTATCTAATTCATCTAAGAAAAAGGTAGGAGGAGCAGATGAACGTCTTGATCATTTTAATTCCAAAGCACTCAGAAATAACCTCATGACTAAGGTTATTTTTGGCAAACAGAAAGCCGCATAGTGAAATGCTGCATCAGTAGCATAAAAGAGAGAATGCAGAAAAGCAATATGAAGATAGAGAAAAAGTAAACTTCAGATGGACTGACATCTATAAGGAGAAACTAGGTGACCTCATCGCCATCTACAAAAAGAACAGCTTTTATGTCAGAATTCACAGCAAGAATAAACACCAATATTTTTAAGCAATGGCCCCACGGGTTTGATGACCTGTAGTTTGGTGGTCAAACTACATTTTTGGTGGCCCAAACGTAAATGTGAACACATTGCAAAAAAGGCAATTTAATTTTGTTTAAACTACAAAGTTCACTTATCAACATATATACACTGCTAAAAAAAAATTAAGGGATCACTTAAATCACACCATGGGGGCTGTATTCAAAATCACACTGAAAATCAAATTGAAAACTTGAAATCACAGACTCATCCAAAATGTATGAATTTTATCAAAGCAACGCATAATGTGACTCAGAAGTGTGTTTGGCCCCCGTGTGCCTGTATGCATGCCCAGCAACATCTGAGCATGCACCTGATGAGTCGGTGGATGGTGTCCTGGGGGATCTCCTCCCAGACCTGCATCAGGGCATCAGTGAGCTCCTGGACAGTCTGTGGTGGTACTTGGTGGTGTTGGATGCACCAATACATAATGTCCCATAGGTGCTCAATTGGATTTCAGTCAGGGGAAATGTGAAGGCCAGTCAACGGCATCAGGGCCTTCGTCATTCAGGAGCTTTCTACACATTCTGGCCACATCAGGCCGGGTATTGTCCTGCATAAGGAGCCCAGGGCCCACTGCACCAGTGTAAGGTCTAACAGTTACTCTGACTTCATCCCAGTAACTCACAGCAGTCAGGGTACCATTGGCTATGACATGGAGGTCTGCGCAGCTCTCCAAGGATATGCCTCCCCAGACCATCGCTGACCCACCACCAAACTGGTCATGCTCACTGATGTTACAGGCAGCATAACACTCACCACAGTGTCTCCAGAGTATGTCACATGTGCTCAATGTGAATCTGCTATCATCTCTGAAGAGAACAGGGTGCCAGTGGTGGACCTGCCAATTCCGGTATTCTCTAGCAAATGCCTGTCAAGCTGCACAGTGCTGGACTGTGAGTACAGGTCATAGTAGAGGACGTCAGGCCCTTGTGCCCCCCTCAAAGTCTGTTTGACAGTTTGGTCAGAAACATTCACACCCGTAGTAGCCTGCTGGAGGTAATTTTGTAGAGCTCTTCCTTTTTCTCTTTGCACAAAAGAGAAGATACCATCCTGCTCCTGGGTTGTTGCCCTTCTACGGCCCTGTCCAGCTCTCTTGGCATAAGGGCCAGTCTCCTGGTACCTTCTCCATGCTCTTGAGACTGTGCTGGGAGACAGAGCAAACCTTGCAACTGCACATATGGGGGTGTCATCTTGGAGTAACTGGACTACCTGTGCAACCTGATTGGGCTGCAGGTACTGACTCATGCTACCAGTAGTGACAAGGACACTAGCAAAACACAAAACTTAATCAGTCAGGAAGAATAAGGAGAGAGCATTTGTCTGTGGCCACCTCATGCAAATCCATTTCCTTTTTGGGGGTTGTCTTACTTTTAACTCTCCACTGCACCTGCTGTCTCTTTCATTTGCACTAAAACAGATGAAACTTGATTCATAATCACTTGTGCTTCCTCAGTGAACAGATTGATATTCTTGAAGTTTACATGATGGTGTTATACTGTTATTATTGTGTGCCCGTAATGATTTTTTTTGAGCTGTTTATATTATTTTAGTTCAGTCTATTTTTTGCAGCCCCCCAATGACTCTGCCTCATACCCACTCTCTTTTGCTCCCTCCCAAAATTGTGCCTGAGTAAGTCATATCTGCAATAAAGGCATTACAAAAAGAGGTTTCTACTAATACTTATATGGGCAGTATAAATACATTTTTATTTTCTTTTAAACTGAAAACAAGTTCTTTGAAAACATATCCTCTCAGTACATCTTATTTCACACCCCTCATGCATTCCTGTGCCTGATAAACACAACCTCCTTCCTCCCCAGCATCCCAGCAGTGTAAGTTATGTACAGTGCCTTGCGAAAGTATTCGGCCCCCTTGAACTTTGCGACCTTTTGCCACATTTCAGGCTTCAAACATAAAGATATAAAACTGTAATTTTTTGTGAAGAATCAACAACAAGTGGGACACAATCATGAAGTGGAACGAAATTTATTGGATATGTCAAACTTTTTTAACAAATAAAAAACTGAAAAATTGGCCGTGCAAAATTATTCAGCCCCCTTAAGTTAATACTTTGTAGCGCCACCTTTTGCTGCGATTACAGCTGTAAGTCACTTGGGGTATGTCTCTATCAGTTTTGCACATCGAGAGACGGAAATTTTTGCCCATTCCTCCTTGCAAAACAGCTCGAGCTCAGTGAGGTTGGATAGAGAGCGTTTGTGAACAGCAGTTTTCAGTTCTTTCCACAGATTCTCGATTGGATTCAGGTCTGGACTTTGACTTGGCCATTCTAACACCTGGATATGTTTATTTGTGAACCATTCCATTGTAGATTTTGCTTTATGTTTTGAATCATTGTCTTGTTGGAAGACAAATCTCCGTCCCAGTCTCAGGTCTTTTGCAGACTCCATCAGGTTTCCTTCCAGAATGGTCCTGTATTTGGCTCCATCCATCTTCCCATCAATTTGAACCATCTTCCCTGTCCTTAAAGTTTGCCACAAGCCACCTGGGAGACACACCAAACATGTGGAAGAAGGTGCTCTGGTCAGATGAAACCAAAATCGAACTTTTTGGCAACAATGCAAAACGTTATGTTTGGTGTAAAAGCAACACAGCTCATCACCCTGAACACACCATCCCCACTGTCAAACATGGTGGTGGCAGCATCATGGTTTGGGCCTGCTTTTCTTCAGCAGGGACAGGGAAGATGGTTAAAATTGATGGGAAGATGGATGGAGCCAAATACAGGACCATTCTGGAAGGAAACCTGATGGAGTCTGCAAAAGACCTGAGACTGGGACGGAGATTTGTCTTCCAACAAGACAATGATCCAAGACATAAAGCAAAATCTACAATGGAATGGTTCACAAATAAACATATCTAGGTGTTAGAATGGCCAAGTCAAAGTCCAGACCTGAATCCAATCGAGAATCTGTGGAAAGAACTGAAAGCTGCTGTTCACAAACGCTCTCCATCCAACCTCACTGAGCTCGAGCTGTTTTGCAAGGAGGCATGGGCAAAAATTTCAGTCTCTCGATGTGCAAAACTGATAGAGACATACCCCAAGCGACTTACAGCTGTAATCGCAGCAAAAGGTGGCGCTACAAAGTATTAACTTAAGGGGGCTGAATAATTTTGCACGCCCAATTTTTCAGTTTTTTATTTGTTAAAAAAGTTTGAAATATCCAATAAATTTCGTTCCACTTCATGATTGTGTCCCACTTGTTGATTCTTCACAAAAAATTACAGTTTTATATCTTTATGTTTGAAGCCTGAAATGTGGCAAAAGGTCGCAAAGTTCAAGGGGGCCGAATACTTTCGCAAGGCACTGTACACTGCAGTAGGCCTACATTACACTGTTAGATGTGTTATAATCTAGCCACTTAAAGTCCAGTTGTTGTTTTTTTCGTCTTTTCAAGATAGCGCTGCATGAGTGGCAGCGAGTTCCAGCAGCTCTATCCTCTTTTGTGTTTTTTCCATGTTTTCTGAAGTTCTCCTTGCTTTTGTGTTATATTTCTTTTCCGCAAGCCTTTGTGGAGTTGGGCTACTAGGAGTACAAGTTTTATTGTGTTTGCATTATGTTTTATACTTTTGTGCGAGCTTTTTGAGTCTGCCTCGGGGGACCCCTTGTGTCGCAGCTCCATTGTTTATTCTCGGGATCTGCTGCTTGCCCTCAACCGTGTCCGGCTTCCTTATGGTGAGCAGCCGAAGATCCCCATGAAGATGTGACGAAAAAGGCAAGGCTGTAGAGCTGGCGTAAAGTGCTGGGAAAAGAACAGAGGTATGAGCCATGTTTACCATCTGTTACTATGGAAAACGTCCACTCCGTTCCCAACAAGATGGATGAGCTAAACCGCGCAAACGGAACTGCAACGGGTGTACAGGAAGAGCAGCCCTCTGTGTTTCACCGACACTCCTGATTCTGTGGTGATGGTTTACACTAATCCCTCGGCTGACGCTACTACTGTATGTGAGCACACACAGGCTCTAATCCTCATGTCAGGGGACTTTAACCCTCCCCCTC